TTCCCTATCGCATTGCCAAACAGTACATTCTGCCTCATTTGAAGTGTGCTTATAGTAATCTTATCTCTGTTACTGTGCTTCCAGACTTAAGTGTGACATCATTGGTTGTAGAATAGTGTGTAGTTATAAAATATTCCTGCAAAGAATACTGACTATAGAAACAAAACAAAAAACCCTTAACCACTTGGGCAGAGAACAGAATGCTAATTCATTATAAATTAATACCGTAAAGTAGACAGTTCTACAGTCACCAGTTTATTGTGCTGACTGTTTAGTTCATGTTCATGAAAGCTGACTTTGATTCTTAGGCAGCAATAGGTAGTCTGTGCGCGGTGGTGGGTGTGTGTGTCATTGGAGAAGGCTGCTTCTCACTCAAGGCCTAGCCTAGGTATGTCTTGCTTTCTGAACGTGTTAAATGTAACTATTCCTGGACAGATTACTTTTTCCTGGATGGATTACTTTTTTCAAGTCTTCTTTTTTTTTCTTCTTCTTTCTCATGCTAATAGGGAGGATTCAGTTGTGAATCAAAGATACAACTTACTCTGCCATCATAACTGATTAATAAATCGCCAAGACTAGACACAGGACATTTTTTAGTTGAGTGTTAACACTGGTTACCTAGTTATGGTAGATGATTCAGACTGGAATGTACCGGTGATTATTTAGATCTTCACTGAATTAGCTTTAAACTTTAAACTGCAGTACCTCAGAATATTTTTCTGTCAGCCTGCTTATGGCATGTCCTGAGAGAAAGGGACCAAAGACAGAATTTCTTTTCTGCCTGCCTGTTCAGTGTACTGGGAGCAAGGTTATCCTTTTCTCTCCAATGCATTAGCTTTCAGAAGATTTCCTCATACCATAGGATTCTAGAAATTGCACACTGGAACCTCTGGCACAGCTTGTCCATCTTACTGGAACAGAACAACGGAGCAGAAGTTATGTTGTCTCCAGTAACTTCCAATGTATTAATTATTTCAGAAGGGATCTATTTTGCAGATACACTCCTGATTATTTTTTTTAAACATTTTGCAACCAAAAAATTCAGTACAGTTTTATCTGCTGTGTGTTGAACTGGTTTGAAAACAGTAAGCTGAACAAGTGTTGTTCCCATAGTTGTTGACCAGACAGCTGAGTCAGCTTAAATTGCATTGAAACAAACTATAAGCAGTCCTGTTTACACATCCCAGCAGTGGAAAAAGTAGTTATCAGCAGTAAGGAGGGTAATTTTTTTTTACATAGATATTAAATTCATGCTTTTTCTTGTTGTTTTAATACTGCCTATAAGGTCATACAAACAGATCTGTTTGAAAAGATTCCTGAAAAATTGGTGTTGAAAATAGCACCTATTCTGGAAAAAAGGTCAGGTAATTTTTTTTGTTGCAAAACTAGTTTGGAAACAGGTGGGAGTTTTTTAGTCATGCACGTTTTTCTCCCACAGCATTATGAAGTAAAATATAACTAAGTTCTAATTTTCATGTCCCAGAGCAACGCATTATACTTTAAATTAAATGAAATGTCTACTTCAAAGATACTCTAGGTCATTAAGAGTGTTTTACTGAGCAAAGCAGCAGTGGTCACTATTCCCCGTTTTTCTTTTCTCCTAGAATACAACTTGATGTTTTTTCATGTGAGTTTCTTAGCTTAATTGTAGGTAGGTGAGATCATCAGTAAAATAAAGATAATAACAGGTATCTTGAAGCTGTGAAGAGTGGGGCCCAAAATGTTCTTTAGTAACTGTGTGCTACGTATGATTGAATAGTCTACTTCTATTTATATTCTGGTGTTCTGCAGGATCTGATTGCATCTGGAGTCTAGTGGGGCCTGATGTGCAAAAGTTATTTCAGGGAGTGCTACACAGTGCATGTTACTTCAGTTTTATAATAGCTTTTAAACTGACCAGTTAAGAGACTGACTTTCAGTGAATAATCTTGTTTTGTTCTTGGGGGCAGGAGGCATGGGGGGGACTGGGGAACAAGGAACCTGGCTAATTCTGGATGAAAAGTATTTTTGAATGCTTTCAATTTAGGAGATTTCCTTTCATAAACTTGAACGTGCAGTACGTAGTTTTGGTGTTGCTTCTTTCTAAATGTAGTTGCTTTTGAGTAATACTTTCAGATCCTATAGTTTTGAATAGTAAATTGAATTGCATGTTTATGAGGTTTTTTATATTTAGATGTTTTATGTAGGAAATAGTTTGCAAAATATTAGGGATGTATCAGGTATTGCCTTGCTTTCTAGAAGAGAATGAGGAGGAGTGAATTGTGAAATTATGTAGCTGAAATGTATGCAATACAACAATTGTTAATTTTAAAATTCTCACATGTATTTATAGTTACTAAGTACGTCATGTAAGTGGCAACAGAAATGTTACGTTTTTTTAATTAGTAGATCGCTGCATTATCTTGGATGTTGATGCATAACTAAGGTCTAAAGTCTGTGAAGATGCCTGTTTCTAATTTTAAGCTTTTCAGTGATTTTTATTGGATGAAATCATGGTTGCAGGTGACTTGATGAGGGTTTGTTTTTGTATATACTTGAGACACAGGTTTTTATTTACCTGAAATAGATGGCTTGCTTCTTCTGATCTGTACAATTATTGTCTGTAAAAGGAAGATTTGGAAACTATTTATGTACTTCAAGGTAGAATTTTACAAGTATACCTTTCCTTTGACAGCTAGAAGATGGACACACTTTATTTGACTACAATGTTGGACTGAATGACATAGTTCAGCTTTTGATACGTTCTGAATCTGAAGCTCCTACCACTGCTTCTGGGACAGATCAGGATGGAGAAGTCAATCCCTGTGCTGTTTCCAACTGCAAGAACAAAGTCAAAAAAACAAATAGTGGATCACCCAGTCAGCCATCTACATCATCTCGCTCATTTCTCATTGATCCTGGCATTGGATTATACAAGGTACGTACAAGCTCTAAAAGCTGGAAACTTGCCTCACACTTGTGAGTTTAATTTTATTGTTAAAAAAGTTTTGTTGTCTTATTGTATAAAAGCGTGTATCCTCATTGCTTTCATGATTTGACGTAGTTCCCCATTTTTACATAGCTTAAATGAAGTCAATTTGACATGACTCCTGCAGAGTCATGAAAGTGTTTCTGTACTAGGCACACTGGTGTTGCAGGTTTTAGGAGAGTTCATAAACTGACACGCTGTGTTCTCCAAAACACATTCTCCAGAAAGTTTAGAGTACCTGTGAAGCAGAAATACTTTCTGGGAACAGAAGAAGCTAATTGAAAAAAATGTGTGGAAAAGTGTCGCATTTCCCCTACTTAGCTTTTTCAAGCTTGCCAACTATTTCCTTTAATACTGATGTTTCAGTGCTGCATTAGAACTAGATAAGCTATGGAAGTACACAGTTTCTTTAAATAGTACGTGATGTAATGATTGCTGTTTTAGTAAAGGTTTTTTAGGTATCGTGTATCATATTTATTGTTAGTTTTGTACCTCATTGAATTTTTCAATATTGCCATGTAGGAGTGCATCAGAGTACCAGAAGTTTAAACAGAGGATGGACAGTTTCCAGATTGCTAGCTCATTGGATATTTACTAGGATGTGTGTATATGTAGGGAATGGTAGCATTTTACCTCCTGTTTGGGTGTTCCTCTTAAATAAGAAATATCCATAACAGTAATTCTTTTGCTGGAAAATGTCCAAAATGGAATGCTGTTATTTAGACCTGTCATCCTGATGGGAAGCCATTTTAGTTTCATGTAGACTGTTACTAATGTTTCGAGTATTAAGGACAAGTGGTAAGTTAGTTACTCTACGCTCCTGTAGCATTCTGTGCAATAAGTTTTATTCATTTTTCTGAGGATTCGGGGAGTCAAAAAATCGCTAGCTTGAATATGGAGACACAAGCTTGCGTGCTTCCTTTTTTTTTCTTTTTTTTTTTCTTTTATCTCCATTTATTACAGTGGGGAAAATCCCAGTTCTTCAGTTCTGATGCTTTACAACTAATCAATGAGTCTAAAAGGTAATACAGGAAAGGACGAGGAGAATACTGGGGAGATGGGAGGCTGCAGAAGATCAAAGATCAAAGGAAAGGAGTGTTAAAATGTATGTTTTCAAGAACGCTAAACATTATATCAGATAGTCTCTTAGCTGTTTTGTTAAGGGTTAAAGCAGAAAATAGACCAGGGAATGGTGATATTGGCAAACATACTTGAGGAAAACTATTCAGCTGAAATTTTTGTGATCTCTAATACTAGGGACCTAACACTTTCTCCTTCATTACCTGTGAATTGTTTACTTTTTCAACCAATCATATCTTTTTAATATATAGAGAAAAAGAAAGGTACAGCCATAGCATTTTTTAGTATTTGTAAATGACAGTAGGAACGTGTAGAGGATTTCTACTTAAGGAATCGGGAAACTTTTAAGAATGCATTTTTAACCAATAACATAATTCAAAGGTAGTAAACTTTGTTAGTAAAAGTCAATGAAAAAGGCCATAAACTAAGCTATGTTAGATGGCTAAAGAGATGGATATGTTTAATTTTTGCATTTGCTTGTTTGCCAAACCATAAGGAATTATAGGAAGGAATAGTTTATTACAAATTTTTCTGTCTGAGGAAAGTCCTGTGCCTCACTGGATCTGTACCCAGAGCTAGAATCAACAAGATAATTGTTACTTACTCCCTGTTATGAGTAGTCTCAGCCTCTGTATCCTCCTTTCTCTTTCTGACTTCAGCTAGCAAAAGGAAAGGTAGCCAGTATGGAATCTGTAATTTAAATAAAAATAGCAGTAGAGTTGGTATTGGAAAAAATAGTTAATAATAAATTATTGTTAGATGGTTAAAATAGTGATTTAAACAGAGTTCCTCTGTGTGATCATTGTATATTACGTAAATCAGAATGCTTTAGCTTGTTTTATATTCCGGTTGTACCTGACATCTGATACTTACGTGGGGTCTGATGGACTAGCAGTGGGTGGAATTATGTTCAACTCCTGTTCCTTGTTACTAAGACTGAGAATTCTTAGCGTTGTCTGGTTAAAAACTGGGGGTCCATGCCAAGATGGACTCGGCATGTGTGAAGGACATCACTTTGGTTAAGCAGCGTACCACAGCTGATCTGCAATGCCAGAAGGATGAATAGAAGAAAGGTAACAAGAGAGGAGTTACAGGAAAACTGGTTGGGCGTGCATGAATGATGTTAGAAAAAACAGAGCTTATTCAGAAGCATGTGCATGTTTCCCCTTCTGATTGTTACAGTTTTCATGAATTTTTTCCTCCAAAAATCTCTGGCTATAATAAAAACATCCTAGCTGAGAACTCTTAACTAGCTTGGAATAAAAACCACACAAACTGAATCTGGAATTAAAGTAAGTATTTGTTGAATACTGTTGAGGAAGAGCTATTAATAACCCAGTTCTTAAACCAGATACCGCTAACATAAAATAGTCGTCTGATGTTTCTCAGTGGTCTGTGGTAATAATTATTTGCCCTTACTCTTTGCAAGGGTGGCAAGTCTGTTGTGTAAGTATGCACATCAAATTATGGAAGAATGCACTGGAGAGGAGTGATTAAAGGAGTTTGCACTGATTAACGTTTTTTACATTTCATTTCTTGTAATTTGTTCTGGATCTGATGATTTTTGACTTGGCTAACATGGCTTCTGTAGCACTTTTGTAAGTGGTCATAAGAAGTAGCAGCAGATTGGGAAATCCTTAGTAGTGTGTGTCTTGTTCAACTGTGTGTTTGAAAGGAGGAAGTAAAGACAGTAGCACTTTAAGCTACAAGTAGTTCAAATGCATAAGGTTGTGTAGGGATGCCTCTGTGAGGGTTCCTTCTAGAAGTGCCAGTGTTTAAATAGATTGATAGATTTAAAATGAGGCTTTCCTTCTCTGATTTGTTTATGTGGCTGAAATTTTTGTTCCGCTGAAATGCTGTACTTTGAATGCTGTAGGCTGGAAGAACAAAAATAAAAAAATACAAATTGGTATTTTACATGGGAGGAAAAATAAAACATTGAGTTTTGGAGGTCATTTTAAGAAGGTGAATGAAAGAGTAAAATACGAAGTATTGCTTTCTTGGAATAAGCTTGTTAGCTCCAACTGCACTTGCGGATACCTAAGGACTGCTTCATTCTAAATACTAAAAGTTATTGAGTATGTTTTTTGGCTTGCTTCTGTGTAAATACAGTAGGATTGCCCTGTTAATAGAAACTAGCCTTTGGGGTTAATAAGTGTAAGTATCTGTCTGCTACTATGTTGGTACTTGACAAAGGCTGTAGCTTAAACCAGACAGGGGAGTGTGTGTTAAGTGTGTGCGTATATACATGTATCTGATATCGTTTGTTACAGATGTTTTCTATGGTTTTTGTTACACTTAGTGTACTGTTGATAAAGTGTTCTTTAAACCTTTTTTTTTCAGTGTTCTCCGTATTATTAAAGGAACATCTGCTTAATTAGCAGAAGACTTCAGAAAATGAAACATGATTTAGAATAGTAAAGTGGTTTGGTTGCTTGGTACCAGTATTATTGTGAATACAGAAGGGAGAAATTCTGGGAGATAGTTCCATTTCTTACAATCATAAGATTTTAGCTGACTTCGGTGGCAACGTTTAGACTTGTTTTCTCCCTCTCTCTTCTTGAGTCTTGAAGGGTTAAAAGAATCTTGCAGGCTGGAAAGACAGAAGGTTAAATAATAATTCCAAGTTGGAGGCTTAGGAAAGTCTTTAAACTCCTTGATTGTGAGCTAGTATTTTAATGCTGTGTATGCTTATTTTAGCCACAAAGAACAATTGGTTAAGCAAGAGGAAAGGTTAATGAAAGAGATTAAGCTAGCTTTCAGGTTGAGGGCAGGGGGAGAGGGGGAGTAATCCAGCCCTGCTTTTTAAAATTACATATGTATTATATTCATACTAGATTTTAATGAGAGAAGAGTAATAAAATACTGAAAGTGCAACATAGTCGTGACGGGATGTTACTTGAACTTTCTCAAGCTCACCTAGTTACTAGAGTTGATTATTTTACCGATTAAAAAGTTAAGCAGTAGCATAGCAAGTTGTAATTTTTTCTTAATTGGGATTATATAAAATAAGTGTGAATTCATTATTGAATTTTCCTTTTAGATAAACGAACTGGTGGATGCCCGTGATGTCAGCATTGGAGCCTGGTTTGAAGCTCATATAGAAAATGTTACCCGAGCAACAAAGGGACATAAGAATGGTAAAGCTCAAGGGAAGAGTGGTAACACTTACAAAAGGACTAATGGAAACTTAAGTCAAGATCATTGTAGAGAAAATGCAAATAATTTGGACAGTACACCATCCACATCTTATTCAGACTGTATGGACACTGATGAAGAAGCTATTTATCATATCAAGTACGATGAGTAAGTGCTCCTGATACTATTTTGAGGACATCACATATTGTTATTTGGTTTGTATAAACCAAGAATTTCTTGAAGAAGCTTGGAATCAAAGAGAGGAAGTTCAATATTGCAACCAAGAAAAAAAATATTAAAAAATTTAAAATACTTTTCAGTTGGATGTAGTGAATCCGTTGGGAGTAATGATATTTTTCATGCCTGAATACTTGTCAAGTATTAATTTCTTTGTCTTTATGAAGCTTAAAATCCATCCTCCTTATATAAGAAAAAGAAAATACATAACCGAATTTTTACTGTGGGTTCTTCCAAGTAAAGCATTGTTTTATTTTTTTTAACTATTCCCTGTGTATATTCAATTCTTCTCATTGGAGCTGAAGGAGAACTCTCATGAGAGCAAATTTTCTTACTTGATTTGGATCAATTTTATTACAAATGGAAGAATTATGCACAAAATTGTAGATCTGCACTTACAGTAAAGGTTTGTTAAAGAGAGCTTTGTAACTGAGGGCATGAAATTGATTCTGAAGTGGAGAGAGGGCATTAAGGGCACCTTGTGGGTTTTTTCTGTTTGTTTGTTTCTGTAGTAAAAACAAATTCCAGAGCCTGCAATGTGTGGGTGGGAAAACCTGAGTTTGGAGGTATTTCTTATTTATGAATAGGTTTTTTGCCACTTCATTTGCTTAGGAAATTGGTCTGGATTTTTTTTTTTTTAATAACATCTGTTAAAGTGTTAAGTTAAGCTTCTAAACAAATAAAACTTCAAATGAGTTGAGGATTTTTAGTTTTTGGTACTGACATTAGTAAAAATACTGTAGTTTGTGCAATGTAAGATTAAGGTCTAAGGATGCAAAGTATATTCAGTATTAACTAAATGTAGATTTCCAAAATACATTTTTAAAGCAGCTATTTCAACTTTAGTTATTTAAATATGTAACTCTGAATCTGGCTTACATAGAGCCCATTTTGTTGCTCTTACTAGTAGCAGATACAACTTAATGTGCTTTTTAAATTCTGTGTTGATTTTAGATTCTATATCTGCAACTGCGTGTTATACTTAATATGTTAGAGAATTACGAAGGTGGAAGTAGAAATATAAATATTTCATTGAATATTGAAAAAAATACATGAATATAACTTAGTCAGCCAGTATAATCAAAATGAAAATAGTTTACCTTGAAATTATGTGTCTGTTGTGGTGTGATTTCAAAGATCTGGCTTTAAGATTACCTACAATTATTACACTGTGGTTATATGTAAGTTAGCCATGGGCAAACATTTCTGAGAAACAGTGTTTGTAACTGTTGCAGTGAAATTACATTCCTTTTGTGTAGATGCTGTTGTTTTTCATGAGTTAAAAGTACAGAAGTAGAAAATGTTTCATTACAGGTCTATTTTTAGTTTGGCTTATTCATGCTAAAGAAAAAAGATGATTGACCTCTATGTCTACTTCAGGATCTAGCTGTTCCCTTTCAGCAGGTAGAGACAGTCTTTTTTACTCTTAGTATAGCAGTTGTATATTCTTAGCCAACAAAATTCAGTAAGGAACAGAAACACTATGTTGCAAGGTAGACGTTGAAGTCACAGTTACTTAATTGATCATTCTAAGGTATTGGAAGTTTAAGCTTTTGAAAGAAAAACTGATGGAAAGCTTTCTGCAAAGTGAGACTTGTACATTTATCAGTGATTGGGTTTTTGAGCATTACTGACCTTTGTTACAAATCTTCCAAGGTCTCACTTTTTAGTGTTACCTAACATGCGTATTGGTATGGTAGCTATGTGTGCACTCTTACCACTTTGTTTCCACACGTTAGTGTTTGCCTTTTTGGCAAACCACTGTAGACCACACATGTGTCCTGCCACCTATATGCTTGATATGGATAAATAGGGAGGTCATGGTATGCTTTGCCATGCAGTTGTTCTCTGATTCAGAAATTGTTTCATCTAATTTATCTCTTCATTCCCATTCCTCAAGGTTCACATTTTAATGCTAGTACTATCTTCTGCATAGTTTCCTGCTCCTTGGTGTTTTGCTCTTAAGGTTTGGACTGTGCATTTTGCTCCCAAATGCACTTGGCATTCTCTAGTCTGTCCTTGCTGTGTTGTTGTGGAGAAGCTTTTTTTCCTTGTATCTTCTAAAGAAGATGATACTCTCGGGTGGCGTAATTTCAGCTTTGCCTTGCCTACATCAGGTATAGTCTTACAAGACATGAAAACATTTGATGTCATCTGAAACAGAATAAAAATGTCTTACAAATGGATGACATAAGCTTGATGTCTGTGAAGCCATCAAAATTGCTTGAATATGGGGGAAGGACTATGTGTCAGAGGTGGACACAGGTCCACAACTCCTCAGATCATCACTGATGCTCAGTGATGAGACTGGTTCTCCCTCTCTGCCTGTTACATCCTTCCAGTTTGGGAAAAAACAAAGAAGGTTACAGCTGAAGGATAGGTTATCTGTAGTGCATTGACTTGGTCTCCTCCAGCGCCTTGACTCTGATGCAAGACTTCATTGTGATGAATAGTAAATATACTTTACTGTACCGTGTGTTGCGGCAAACTTAATCTTACCCCCTGCAAAAAAACCGAAAGTTCAAGCAACATCCTTGCCCCTCCCTGCCCCAGCCTCCCCCTGATGGCTGGAACCAGTAACGCTAATAGCGGTGTTTATGTAGGTGATACTGTAAGTCTGTGCAAACCCATCTCAGGACCAGGTCTTCCATCATCATAGGCCCACTTCTTGCAAAATAGTCCTCTAGGACAGGCCTGTCTTGCCTCGCTGTCTCCAAAATACACAAATCCACATCTTGGCTCAAATGAACGTCTGAAACTGCTCTTTCCTTTCTTTTCTTAGCTGTCCCATGGGTATTCACACTGTATTCATAGATTCAGGACTGACTGTTGTGTTGTTTGACACCACCTATCTCATAACTGTGTAGCTGTGAACTTTATCTGAAAGTGAAGCTTCACCTTAGTAATTTTCTCTTAGTCTGTGCTCGGCAGGAAAGCTTACCTTTAGCCTTAATTGCTGTAGTAATTTATACTGGAGCACATTTGCTCTTCTTTGAAGTTTTTTGGGTGGTAAGAAAAATTTGTCAAAGAGCATGACAAAACAGTTAAGAGTTTTCATCCAAAACGCGTCCAGAAATTGTGTATTTACTCTCCCTCCAGCAGCTTCAATGAGGGATAATGCTGCCCCAGCCAGTGGTTCTACGTAGTCCTGTGGCTGTGCATCAAGGAGGCTGGGTCTGTACTGGGTTGCTTGTATGTTCCACATCTGATTTCTTGAAAGTAGTTATAATAGCATCAACAGATCTGATGTTCATCTGGCTTTGGTTTTCTTGCTGGAAACATTTGACAGTCCCATCAAGTGAAGAATCCAATCATTAATTCTTTCTCAATGAGGTGACTTTTAGGTCACTAGGTTTTCCTAAGAACAGCTGGTCTTAAAGGATGAAGCAGGACTTGTCCTCCCCTTAAGTAAGAAAGCTGTTTTTAGCAGTGGTGCTGCTAAATTTACATATCGCAAGTTCTGTGCAAAACTTAAACATATTGTTTTGCGGTTTTAGGTTTGGTAAAACCTGCTTTCTTCTCATCCTTTGTTTCATAAGAGTGTACCTCCTCTGCAGGGCTGAGTTTTCATTTATTTCTCTCTTCTTTCTACTTCCTGTTTAAATAGCGTAGTTAGCAGTGATTGTGAAGGAGAAAATATGGCAGAACTCTTCTAGCAAACGATACAATTAAGAGAAATTAACTAAGGTCTTGCCCAGAAAGGTTATAGTAATTTCAAAGGGGTAACTACCTTATGGCTAAACAGAGCTCCTACCAGCTGTAATTGCTACAGGTAGGAGGTACTACATACTCCTCCTTGATTTTGTAGGGAACAGGTTAGCTGAGTTGTTTCTGTTGCAGTTCCCTCTCCCCCCTGGGGCTCTATGCTTATATTTAACTAAATTGCTGCAGTAATTGTAAGGCCCACATTTTCCTGCACAGAGATGATTCTGCTTACAGAAAACCTAGTGCCATTCAGAGGAACAGAACTTCTCAGCTCCAGATCAAACTGGAGTCACAGTTCTTGATTAGCTCAAAGATGTAAAAGGCTTGTGGTGCTTGTCTAAGAGCCCTATCTTCATCAGTGAGGGAGAGACCAAAGTGTCAGTGCTTACCTTCAGTCAGTACCAACTTCCTTGGCATTCAGTTGTGGCTGTATGGCTTTTGCTTGATAGTCCATCTTCTGCATTCAGTTTCCGAATGAAGCTTTTCCCCTGGAGGCAGCATTGTTTACAGAGGTGTTCCCGTTTCTACCAGTGTTGTCTTCCTCCCCTTGTGCTGCTTTATTCACTGTATTTCCTTTTCACCTTTGCATTTCTTGCTATCACAAAGAGCCATTAAAGACTTTGAAGTCAAGGGTCTGCTGTCAAGTTTCATACACTGCTATCATACATTTCTTTCTTCTGCTCTGAGTAACATTCTTTTAATACAGAAGAAAAAGATCTGAACCTGTCTTCAACAGAACAAAGCTGAATCCTTATTTGAAAGGACCCATGAGGAATCCAATACATGCTTAAATCCTAAAGGTAACTGAGATAACTGTAGGTAGAATCTACAGGGCTGTGTCAGGCAAAAGTTTGCCCTTTCCTCCTAACTTACTCTATTTCGTAGTTGTTGCTTCTGCAACAGTTCTCTTGCTCTGTTAACTTCTTGATGGTTGTTACCTCTTCCCTGAAGTAGTGGAACAACTTACTGATCTAGAAACAAATGCTGGCTTTTCCTTCCTTGTCCTGTTTCAGTCATTTGTAATAAAGACCTTCCATTAAGAAGACTCTCAGTGGTGGTCACAGGAAGGCTCGACGTTTCTGCAGCCTGAGAAATGTCAGTATGGCTACATAAATGCAAGTATAGATTTAGTATGGCTGAAGTGTAGGTAACTTTTCAGGGCTATTGTATTTGGCTGATGATACCCCTCTCAGGTTCTGTGCTAATCAACAGAGAAGTCTAAATTC